ACTACACCATTTCACACATGCTGATGTGGAAAGACTTGATAATGCTCAAGCACTTAGGTGGGCAGCCAGTCTTCTTCAGGATTTAAAACAAACCATCCCTGCAAACCATTATGAAATAGAACATGAAGGTAATAGCAGATAGAAACTGAATATGTCAAAAGTTCTATATTGTAAAACAAACAAACAAACCAACCCAAACCCTAATAATATATTGGGATGTATTAACAGGAGTTACTACAATGGAGATGGAAATGCACTCTGGATGAAAATCTTCTGAGGATCCTTCAGACAATCACTCCATAGTAGTTTACAGATAATTTCTGATGCCATTTTAAGGCCAACTGCTGTTGTTTAAGGCAGACCCTCAGATGATCATGGTCCAACTACATCTATTTCATGACCCAAATAGATCATTGAAGTTCTCTGAACAATGCAGTCAACAATAGCCCAGGTGAAAACCAGGGGCCTATTTCTGGAGCTAGAACTATGGTGTTAATGAAGTCCATAGCTTACTACATGTGACACTATGTCACCATAGCATATCACTATGGTGACATAGCATCCATGGGTGTCTACATGTGACGACTAGCTACTTCGCCATAGTGGCATGCCCCCGGATTACAGCATGCCACTATGGGGAAGTAGCTGCTAAAAATAATCATGCACTACGTATAGCACACTACGGACAGTTACTGTACCATACTTTAGTACTTTCAAAAGGAAGTGCTAAAGCATGGCATAGGAACAACATTACCACAGGGCAACATGCAGACAAATCCTCTGTCAAGGGTTTCCTCTTCTAGAAGGACATGCGAGAAGAGAAGACTGACTTCACAACATGCTCTAAAGGAACTTTTTTTTGATAATTGAGGACAAGGATTCAAAACAGAATTAGAAGAAAGAGAAAGAAAATGTTTTTCTACTCCATCTGCACCCCCAGGACAAAACATGAAGCAAGCTGCTGAGCTTTGTAGAAGTAATCTGAGTCTACTATTAAACACTTTGGGTGTCTATACAGGAGCATGGAGGCTGCTCTAATGTGAAGCATGGCAATTACCACACTCAAGCAGCCTCCTGCATCTCATGTATCAGCATCCCTGTGCTTAAAAGTGGTGATGGGGGTGCGTGAACTAAAGCTGGTTGAACAAGCATTAGTTCAAGTGCCCCCACCACCATTTTTAAGCATAGGGATGCTGATACAGGAGACAGGGTGGTGTTTCAGAGAGGCTGTTGGAGCCGCTTTAATTAAAGCACTGCTCCCCCACCCCCGGAGCACATGTAAAAGTGCCCTTTGGCTACATCTACATGAGATGATTTACTGTGCAGCATCTTAATTTGCTGTGCAGTAAAGCATCACCATCTACATGTGCATGGCAGTTAGGGTTCAGTAGACTAAATTACTGCCCTGCCAGATAGTCCTGTCAGATACAAGTGCTATCCAGCAGCTCAGTAAATTACTGTGCTTAAATGCATGTGTAGATGGTGACATCAGGATTAGTTTATTCCAGCTCAGATTAAGCCAGAGTATATTCAGTCGTATTAACTGCATGTGTAGACATGCCCTTTAGATATTATATTAGTTACTGTATTCAGATGCAGTAATAATGATCACTCTATCAAATGAGTGATCTAAGGCACAGAGAAGTTTCATATTGCTCTTGACTTCCTGTTTATACCTGCATTATGTGTCATTCTTTCTTGAGGTGAGAGATTTATTATGATAATTTTTATCTATCAGTCTGTTTTACCCTGAGATGAAGAATATACCAAAATGAAATCTTAACTTGCATTTTTGTAACTTTGCAAAGTTAAATGAATGTCTTTGCATTAACCTTATGGGCAGGCTGCTGCATCTGAAATATAAAACAGCTATGTTGCACAGTTTGGTTTTTGGGTTCTAGAGTAAAACTATGAAGAGCACAAGAGAAGTGACACCATACATGGTGTTCATTCTTCTCCCTCCTGCTTAACCACAAACAGGCTGTGGTTGGTGCTGTAACTGAAGGTTGCAATATGAGCTGGGTATCATATTGCCCCAGTTGCAGTAAACAGAAGGAAAAAAATACAGAGTTGTAAGCCCAGTAACAGTTATTTCCTTCCCGTCCAGTAGAGTACAAGAGGATGCATAAAGATAACTGTAATTGTAATCATGACTAGGGCTGAAACAAAGCACTACAGGGCAGTGCTTTGAATGAAAAACTAGTGTGCAGCTTTATGCTTTGTTAATTAGGAAGTGGAAGAGTATATACCAAGCAGGAGATACAGAGGGTGTGCTGTCAGGAGCTTAGATAGCAAAGTACTAGCAATGCTGTGCCCTGTGTTATATAATAAAGACAAATTGAACATTATTCCTCTGTTGCAGTCTTTGTCACCCTTGACAGCTCAAAGTGACAGCTTGCTGAGCAAGAGGAAAGAGAGGCTCACATTCCAAATGAACATCTATGCAATTTTAACAACAGTGTATAGGAGGAAATGTAATTTTGAGGAGACTTTTTTTCCCTCCCTGTAGCTATATCTATGCCTGAAATATGTCAATTAGGTCAGGTTATTCCTTTTCTGGGCCCACTCCATTGACATCAACTTAAACCTCTTGCTCTTACCTTCAAGGTTCTGCTCAGTTCTGCTTCAGGCTACGTTTTAAATTTTGTGGTCTGTCATGTACCATGTATCTCCCTTCTGCCCTTTCCTCAGCCAGTAATGCTGACCTTGCTGCCACGCTGTGTGTCCTTTTCCCACTCCCATCTTCACATTTCCTCCTTTATACTACTAATGCATGGTGTGACTTTCATTACTACATCTTCGTCCCTGTCTCCTGTAAAGGGTCACTTTTCCACTAAGGTCCACACACAACAAAAATGAACAAAACATAAATAAATTATATTTCTTTAAAAATATCAAACTCCTTGCAGTCAGTTTTCTATTTTATGAACTCTTTTGTGTGCTTTTACCTAAGTGTTATCCCTTGAAGTGTGCTACTGTTTTTCTTTCTTGGCATCCATCTCCACTTATTCTCTCATTTTTGGTGGGCTACAGGTACTTACTGCTACCACAAGTCTTCTAAATCACATTCTGTAAATGAGTCCTGTCAAGGATTTTGTTTAATAAGTGTGGGGAATCAGGTTTTTATGACTGCTAGGAGATGGTGAACTCATTGTTATTCCCACTGGTATCTTTGGATTACTATATATGAGAGTAAAGGTTTTCTTACCTCTATATAGCATTATTACTTTTTAAGAAAGGACTTTCTTTCTCTAATCTCTAATTATTAATCTCTAATAAAGAAGTTAATTTTGACAAGTTACAACTGGAGTGTCTTTGTCCTCCACCCTCACCTTATAACATGGTCCACATGGGGCATCTCCCTTATGTTGGAAAAGAACAACTTTTTAGGTTGAATATCATGTCATGGCAGGGTCAATACAGTGCGTCCCTCCCTGCTATGGGCCCTCCCTCCCCCAGAAGAAATAAGCCAGACAAAACTGCTAGTGGTAAATTACCCTATGTTTTAAGGAAATAAGACCTGAATTTTGCAGGTAGGTTTCATCTCAATACAGCATCACTGCAAAACCTACGATCTCACCTTCCTTGTGGTCCTACATTAGTCCAGCTATGTTGAATCCCAACAGATGGATTTAGTGGTTTCTAGCTCTGGCTCCCAGACTAACTAATTGGTAACACATGATGTGCTACCAAGGTCACACTTTAATTCAGGGGTTGGCAAAATGCGGCTTGCGGGCTGGATATGGCCCACCAAGGCATTCTATCTGGCTCGCAGGGCCCCTAAAAATTTAGAAAATCAATACTTATCTGCCCCTGGCTGCCTGTCATGCAGCCCTTAATGGCTTGGCAAAAATCATTCCTCTGCCTAAAATAATTGCCCACCCCTGTCAATTACTCTGGTCAGACTTTGCATTATCAAATATAGCTTCCTATATAATACCAGAGTCCTCACTTGGAGAGAGAGGACAGCTTCATTGTATAGAGCTGCAGGAGAGATTAAACATTTAATTTTGGGGTTAGAGTTTGGCTTTTTAACCACAGTTCTACTCAAGGTGTGTTATAGAGCTACCCCCACTCCTTTAGGATCTTCGAAGATACCTTAGCTCCCCAAATGGTACAGTTTTTCAACGGTGGTCCTTCCTTACAATGAAAGTGAAATATGTTCTTGGCATGGAATCGTTTGTTCTTCTGGTGCACCAGCCTTTCCTTTATATTTAGTGCAGGGAAGGTGCCAAGACCATATCCTTGCTTTCTCCAGGGCTGGAGCAGCAGTGAACAGTCCCTGACTTGTCCAGCATGCAGAAAATGAACTCTGTTCAGCTACACAAAGGGAGAAGAGTGAACCGAGGAACTATTTTACCCTTAGTAAATATTTAGCTATTTGGACTTCTGATCTAGCAAGCTCTCTGTGTGCAGAACCTCCCTGTCTTCAGAGGAAGTTTTGTACAGAATCAGGCCAGGTGGCACTGCAACAAACTGATGCCGCTACAGAATTTACCCTTCAACTTGTGTTGGTATCTGCTTGTGAGCAATCTGTCCAGATATAACAATTAAATCAGATATGGGCATATATTGCTATAGGTATAGAAAGTAACAAAATAGTGATTACAGTACTGTTTTAATTAATGATGGGAATATTTTTCTTTTTTCCCCTTTTGGTTTCACCTTTAGAGGTCCAGTTCTATGCATACAGGGACAGAAATCAATCACAGAAACTCCTTTGTCCAGAAATACAAAACAAATATGGCTATGTAAAATTCAGGCTTTTCCATTTGTTGCCCTACTGTTTGCTTCGTAAGTGGCACTTTGAATAACAATAGAAATAGATCCCCACTCCTCTCCCTCCCCAAGAAATGTCATCAGCCATGGGCATCCTCCCAAGAAACAAACTGTCTGAGGGTTCGTGTCAACATAGCCAGGGAGATCCCTTTCTCACACCAGATATTTTACCTTACCTTGACCTGCTGTTACAATGATCTCTTCCTTGTGGTTACTTGCAGGGTGTGTGCTTGTTACATCAGTAATTGAGCAGCTTGCTCAGTTACACAACTCAACAGCAAAAGCAGCTTTGGAGAGACTATGCAACTACATACCTGGTAAATCCCAAATAATATACCTTATGTTGTGCTGGTACCACTGTATTTCACTGTTAATTAAAAAAATCACACTCGAGTCTTAAAATGATTAACTGCACTAGTACATCCTTTAAGATTAATGCAACTGAAGACAAATGTAAAATTCTGCTCCCACTAAAGTTACTGGCATAAAGCTATTGATTTCAGAGGAGCCAAGATTTCATCCCAAAGATATATGGAAATTGAAGTGAGTTGTATTATGCCTGCATACAAATAGACATACATCTCCATGCTTCTGTACATTGTATGTTTGGTGGTATTTTCTATAGTCTGTATTTTCTATAGTCCTATAGTCTGTTTTACTTGTATACTCAGTCACTTTTCCCCTGTATTTGTTTGGGTCTTTACACACCAACTGGGAAGACAAAAATATTTTCAAATATAAGGTAATGTTTTGTAAAATTACAAAGACTGGCAGAGAGAGTGAATGTCAGGTGTAAGACACTTAAGACTTGTCTGCACAGGGGAGGAATGGCAAAATCCATTAAAATGTGAATTTAAAGTGCAGTAGTGTGGAATACCTAAGTCCCGGGGTGGTTCTTTTCTTCTCCACTAAGGGCATGTCTGCAAAGCATGCCAGGTGGTGTCATGCTCAAACATGTTGCACTAATCTGCATATGTTAAGTCCCAAACCCAAAGCAGTATAGCCACCTTTATGAAATGCTTATGAGTCACTGTGCTTCTGTGTAAGGCATTGCTTCTGTGTAAACACCAAGGTCAGTGGCAAAATGATTAATGGCATCTTTATTGCAAATATTTATACCTTGGAAATCAGCCAGACCCTGCTTCTCTGTGGCCGTGAAAACTATACACGTATCTCTTCAAGAGTTTTATCACAGCAGAAAGAAGACTGCTAAAAGGTTACATTTATCTGACGCTGGATCATTTGAAGCATACTAATTTTTTTCTGCCTTTTCCAATTTTTCTTCTGTTGATTTTGACAATTATTTGGGTTTAAGGTCAATTTCTGTTCCTGAATGCTCCAAGTCCATTCATGCACCTCTCTGTCTGAAAATAGACATTTCTTCCCTGAACCTCTTTTCACTAGCAAGCTTTTCATTCCACAACACACTTCTGTGTGTGCTGATCCTTTTGTATCCATATGCATACAGCTGAGCAAGAGAGGTGCCTGAATACTAATATCAGCTGGTTCTCAGGGCAATAGCTGTAAATATTGGCTGTGGATATATTGCCTGAAACCAAAGGCTGAATGTAATATGTGCAATCCAGGGAGACTTTATTTCCTTGTTCTTCCCTCAGGAGCCAGTCATTATTTGTTTCGATTATCCTACTGGATATATATGCACATTAAGGTTCTTATGCTCAGAAGGAATTGTGTCCATAGAAATGTCTCCCTAGCTGACTTGCTAAATGGCTACTTTCTAGAGAAGATGGCAGTGCAAACCACCCCCTCCTTGCTATTAAAAAGATTGAGGCAGTCTGTTGGCTGTCCTTGGGCAAGGGACATTTTATAACAAGCTGGCTTGTCTTCTCAGCAGGAGATTAGAGTAAGCAGTCTACTCTCCTCCACTATGGGAGATATTGGGGAAGCTAGCCATCTTCTCTTACAGGATCCTTGAGCCACCTGCCATGTTGGCAAGCCTTACCAAGGGCATTTTAATCAAGGATAATATCAGACATGGCACTATTGCCATTCAGTGCATGTTTCCTTTCAAGAGGATAATAGCAGAATTTAATTCTAGTCAGGAGACCAGTTTTTAACCAGCAGATTGATTATAAAAATCCAAGAGAGAGAAACTATGTGGCAAAGGAATTAAGGAAATAGGGCTAATGACTTGATCTGAAATAAAATATCTGATGTGGGATAAGATAGATGAGCTACAGCAATTGCTGCAGCCTTCTGCAGCCCAGTATAATTAAGAGGTTGTTGGGCAAGGTACTTACTTACGCATTTACTCCCATGTCATTACATTTTTTTGGAGTCTGGTTCTCTCTTCACTTGTGTATCTTTTTCACTGAGGAGACTCCATTCACATCAGGTGAATTATTTCTTATAACAATGGAATAATTAAATTAAAAATTTGTGTGGGGGCATGCTGTGTTCCTCTCAGTGAAGAAGCTGTGCTACCAGGCAGAAAGGAGTGCAAGGGTAATGGGTCCTAAAAGAAAGCAAGCAAAAGATATGCTGAGTCTAGCCCAGTAATGCCCTCAGAGGAAGGGACAGGGGTAAATAGACAGTCCTGGGTTCCAGTACCTACTCCCAGGACTCTTATGTATTGTACATTAGACGCATATTGATTCTCAACTAGATGACTTACCAGTCAGCTACAAAATTGAGCTCTTTCACATGCCCTATGATGTTTGCTTCTTGACTATCCAGTAGGGCTCTGCAAAACAGCACTGTTCCATTTCACCTTGAGTTTCAAGGGTTCAATGGAACAGTGTTTTGTCTCGAATTTCATTTCAAGTCGAAACAGCTGTTCCATTCTGTTGAAACAGAAAGGTTGTTTCGATGCTGTCTTGAGTTCCGCTGGGTTCCCCAGTGCTAGATCCTACTGGGGACAGGAGGCAGCCCAACTGAACTGCTTCCCAATCGCACATCCCCGGTGTGATGTAGTTCAGGGGATGGGGAAGCAGCCCAGTTAGGCTGCCTCGCCGCCCCCTGCTGGATCTTGAGCTGGGGATGGAAAGTCAGCCTAGCTGGACTGACTTTCCATCCCCAGCCTATGGTCAAAATGTTTTGACCAGCCTCATTTAGTTTTGAGGCTATTTCAATGGCCTTTGTTTCATTCCAATTTTGCTGTTTCAACCTTGAAATTGGTCAAAACAGTGTTGGAACAAAATGGCCAGCAAAATTTCGCACAGCCCTACTATCCAGTAGCCCGGCTTCTTCAGTAGGCAAGGGTGGAGAGTGCCTTGCACCAGTCTATTCTGTAGTTTGATGGTTAGGGCACCCTCCTGGGAAGTGGGAGATGTGGGTCTGAATCACCTCAGTTCGTGGAGGCCTTGGACTGAGGTTTCCCTGGTTTCTAGGATGACTACTATGAAGCACTGGGTGACTGTGCAAATAGTTTCCCAGACATCCCCATGCCCTCATTGTTTGCCTACCTTCATAAGAGGTCTAAGGGTCAACAAATCCAGCCTTTTGAGCTGGAGGGTTTTGTTTGTCCTCACACTCATTGGGGCCGGGCAGCAAACAGCTGCACTGTGGCTGGACAATTTCCAGTTGTGACCATGTCACTGCCACTTTTTCCTGCCCTCTGCCCTCCTGGCTCTGGTCTAACATGGGCTGGGTGACTTTACCTATGCCCGCACTGGAGCTAGAGAGCTTCTCCTTACTCCCTGCCCCCACTGTGTGGTTGCAGCATGAGTGCAGCTTCCAGCTAGTGGGGAGCTGCGCTGGGGCTGGGCAGCCTCCAGCCATGCCCATGCTGCAGCCAAGGGTGGTGAAGAGGAGGAATGGGGAGAAGCAGTGGCAGCATAAATGTAGTTTCTAGTTGCCCAGCACTGGTGCAGCCTGGGAGTTTGTGGGGTGGAGGGAGGTGAAGAGAAGCAGCAGCTTGGGCACAGCTTGCATCTAGCTCCCTAGATGCCTTGCTCCAACATAGGCATAAGGAAGCCCTCTGCTTTGGACATGCCACTAAAGCTGCTCAGCCTGCATTGGACTGGAGTTGGGTTGCTCCAGCTTGCTGCTTGTAAAAGTTTATCAGACCCTTGTCTAGAAGTTCTTGATCACGAGCGAAGGGTAGCACCCAAATTCGACTAAGGACTGGGGTCTTGGACTTAGCATTGTCCTATTGGCTTCTTCTAAAAGCCTCTGGGCTGTCTAAATTGCCATTTGGAAGCACCTACCTCTCCCCCTTCACTTTATGCAAACCATGGGTGATGAAATCTGAATCACTCTTGGAAAATATGCAAGACTTCCCATTGAGTGTGTAGGCATCCTAGGAGCCTAAACCTGTCTATCGGGATCATGCTAGGACCAAGTACCTAATTTTCAGGCATTATTAAGGTAAGTGGATGTGCCTAGGTAGCCAGTCTCTCAGTACTCAGTTGTCTAAACTATAGATGCTAAACTAGAGGTCCACTGAGTTTGCAATGCCATGTTTAAGGGAAAACTAGCTGAAGACGGGGACAGGGTACTAGGAGTATATGGTTCTTTGTTTTTGTTTCTATATATTGCTGTTTCTACCACACAAACAACTGTGTAAATGAACCTACATTTTAACATCTAGCTATGACTCATGATTTACTGCTTATTAATATGCAAAAAACAGATACTCAGTTGACAGCTGTAAGATGTAGGAGACTGATTTAAAGTAAAGTTCCAATTCAGCAGTCTAAATCTAACTTTTACCATATGCTTACCTTTCATTAAAGTGACTTCCCTAGGAGTTAGGAACATGTTTAATAAGTACACTTCCAATAGAAAAAGACTTAACACAATGCTTAAGTGTGTTGCTGAATCCAGTTTGCAATCATCATGGGGGGCAGAGGTGGGACATGTTTAGCTTTCCTTCCTAGGAACTGCAAGACTGGAGCTTACTGTTATTCTGCAACTGCATTCAAATTCAGGACTCCCTCTCAGAAGTGCGCTTCTCTTTCCTCAATGCTAATAAAATAGCCCAAGTGCCATAATTTTTCAGTAGCATATTAAAAAAAATCATGAGCAATGTATATCATACAATATACTTTGACATGTAGTATGATTCATTTAGTTTAAAAGAATGAAAGTTGCCATCCAGAAAAGCCATGTTGCTTAAAGGAACATAACAAATATTGTTAAAGTATAATTACTCCTGCTTATTTTTTTAAACCTGCATAAACACTTAAAGACACTAACATAATTCTGGCCAAAATACAAATACATGCATACCTTTCTACATATTGATGTATCTGTTCTTGCATGCTTCCTTTTTTGGCTTACAATATAAGATAGCAAAGACTTGGCCCTTAAGTTGCTTAGAAGATATTCTTAGCAAGTGTCCATTCACATTATGCATCATTCATATTCAAAGCACTTAACAAATATTAACTAAATGCAACATGTCTGGGTGGCTTGACTAATGATACAGGGTGTAATTGTCAAACCCTAGTTAGAAAGATATGTTTTCTCAGTCTAGTAACTGACCACATGCCTTTCTCAAGAATTGCATGGTATTTCTCTTGATAAAGCAAATTCTGCTGTATTTCATATGCTCACATACTTTAACATGTGTGTTTTCCAGAAAAACTTCACTTTCAGGATATCTGTTATTTGGTTGCTGAAATTTATGGACCAGAACTAGTTAAACTGTAAGTACTAAGATATCACCTAAGAGCTTTTCTTTTAAATTGTGCTGATATATTTTCAGTGCAGTGTTTTCATTCTTCAAGTCCCATTAGTATTACAATACACTTTTTTTTTCCACATCTGGTATACTAGAGAGATACTAGATTAGGTAGTCCAGCCACCCTTGCTGGCTATAACTGAATGAATACTTTGCTACTATACAATACATAACTACTACAGTATGTAGTTCTACAGTGTATTTCTATTTCTAAAATTAGATCTCAAATTAGGTCCACCTGACTTAATTATATTTTTAAATTCATCCCATTTGGCTTGGGAGCAATTTCCTGAATAAAATTAGCAGTGGGTGGGTGAGAGATTGTCTAAAGGGTCACAATATTTTAATCTCTTGTCCCATGGTTTCCACTTTTACCTTAATGACATTTTTCACTGTCATTCTTTACTTGTACCTAGCCCTGACCTTGATTGGAGCACTTGGGAGCCCTTCTAAGCAATGTAAATTACTTTAAAAATAGAATTAGGTCATTTTATTCCTCACAGAAAGTTCTCAGATTAATTAACTGAGTTCTTGCTGTACTTTCTACTTCCTTAGGGCTTTTTAATCTAGCCTAGGGACTATAAACTGCTTACAAAATGAAGATGCACAATAATCAAACATTTTGATTTTAATTCTTCCTAAGTCCAGAAGTGTGCCTTATTAAAATAAGTAAAAAAGTAAAGAAAATCAGTCTTGATACTCATGTCTTATTAGAGGTGAAAAAAGATACCTGATTATTTTGTTAAATCAGGATTGAATATTTGTACATGCCAAATTGAATTAGCATTATCAGTATTATTGATTAAAGACTAGTACAGTTATAACTTATTTGCAGGTTGTTGTTGTTCATTCTTTGAATTTGAAGATGATCATGACATCACTGGTTGGTTTGGTTTTTGAGAGCATGTGAGTGGCTGATCAGGCTAATTTGGGCATTTTTACACTTGCTCTGGGAGGGGGGTGGGGAGAACACTTTAATTAGAGTAGGTCTAATTAAAGCGCCTGGAGTGTCTCATGTATCAGCAGCCCTGAGCTTAAAAATGGCAGTGGAGGCATTTTATCTAAAGCTTGTTGGCCCGCCACCATTTTTAAGTGCAGGGCCGCTGATACACAAGACCGTGGAGTCTGCTGGAGCATGGTAATTACTAGGGGTGTGCAAAACGGGCCGTATTCGATTCGGATTCAGATTTGACCCAAATCGGGCACAGTGATTTGATTCGCTGATTTGGATCATTGTCCCCGATTCAATTTGGCTGAATCCAAATCTGAAGATTCGATGCTGATTCAGAGATCAGCAATTGGGCCATAGACGCAGGTTCAATTTTTTTTCTACATACCTCGAGGTACCAGGTGCGGCTCGTGAACGCTGCAATACTGGGGCAGATGGAGCATCCCAGAGGAATGCGGCCCCCTCCCCCCCGCATGTTCATGGGCGAACCTGGAAGTGGACTGGAAGTGCTTCTGCTGTACTTCCAGGTTTGCCACCAAGCATGCAGGCCCCACCCCCAACTCAGCAATTGGCCACAAGGGGACCCCAGGTGCCCCCCCCCAACCCAGGAGGCACTAGTCACTGAGCTGGGAGGGCACGGGGGGGGGCCCATCATGCTCCCCAGCAGACCCAGAAGTGGACTGTATCGGTACACTGTCCAGGTTTCACAAGCATACATCAGGGTTGGCAACACAGAGGCTTTGTAGACCTTCAGTTTCGTTTGTTGACTGATGGCTCTTCACTCCCACACATTTATACATAGTCTGCCAGAGGCCACACTTGCTTTGGAAATTCTGGCATTGGCTTCTTCATCAATTTGAACTGGATGTGACTGTGTACTGCTGAGATAGATGAACTTGTCCACTGGGTGGCTTGGCAGTGGACAAACCAATGGTCATTCGCAGTGATGCTAGCTCTATTTAAGGCTTTCCTGGTGCAGGTTCATGTATCACTTCTGTCTTAGTATTGATTATGAAACCAAACTTGTGACAAGCTGAAGAGAAATGATCCATGCTCTGCTGCATGTCAGACTCAGACTTGGCATTCAGGGAACTGTCATCAGCAAAGAGAAGATCATGAACAGTCACTTCCTGTAACTTTGTTTTTGCCTATAGTCTCCTCAAATTAAAGAGCTTGCCATCATTCTGGTACCTTATGTCAATCCCAATGTCACAGTCACAAAAGGCACCTGTAAGCATGGCAGAGAACATTATACTGAAGAGGGCTGGGGCCACACAACACTGCTAGACTCCATTGGTGACTGGGAATGGTTAAGAGGATTCACTGTCTTCCACAACATGAGTGAGCATGCCAGCATGGAATTGTCTAACTGTTGCAATGAATTTCTCCAGGCAACCAAATTTTGCAATGATCTTCCAAAGGCCCTCTCGACTGACTTCTTCAAATACTTTTGTCGGGTCAATGAAAGTCATGTACAGATTGGAATTCTGTTCCTGGCTTTTCTCCTGAAGTTGAGGAGCTGCAAACACCATGTCAATGGTTCTGTGTCCTTTCCTTAAGCCGCACTGACTCTCAGGCAGCACCCCTTGTTCATTGTGTTGCACAAGGTGATTCAGCAGAATTCTGGCAAAGATTTTGCAGGCTATTGACAGAAAGGAGATGCCCTGCAGGATTGTCTATTGCCTTTCCACTTGTGAAAATGGATGATGGTTGCATCCTTGTACTCCTGAACTATAGTTCTTTGAATCCACATTGACTGGAAGAGTTCAATCAGTTTCAGAGCCATGTAGGAACCTCCAACCTGGGAGACCTCTGCTAGTATAGCATCTTCTCCAGGTGCTTTGCCATTTGACAGCAGGTTAATTACTTCCACAGTCTCAGTCAGTATTGGAGGATCAGCAAGAGATATATTAATATCTACCTGGTGGTTTGGCAGGCAGAAGACTGATGGTGATGAGGAGGTTGTGTTCAGTACATTTCCTCAACAGAAGATGCTTGTTGCTGTTGCATTTCCCAAGGCTATTTTTTCCAATGATGCCTGGCCATGCCTGCTGATCTGGGCCAACTGTAGCATTAAAGTCACCAAGGATGATGACTTATCTGCCTTTGGCACTTCTGCAATAGGAGACTCCAGATCTTTATAAAATGTGTCCTTAATCACATCTAGGTTGGTCATGGTGGGTGCATAAGGGATGATGACAGTTGCACATCTTTGCCCAAACAGTGGAAGTCTCATTAGCATGAGTCTGTCATTTATGCCTTTTGGGAGATTTGTAAGCTTGCTGATTAGCTATGTTTTGACAGCAAACCCAACACCAGCTTCATGTCGCTCCTTTTTACTCTGGGCGCTCCAGAAGAATGTGTAGTCAGTAAGTTGTCCTTCTTCAGTTAGGTGAGTTTCACTCCAGGCCACTATCTAAATGCTGAATCTGGCTAGTTCTCTACCACCTACAGCTGTTCTTCTTTCTGGTCTTTCTGCTGTCTTACAGTCTGTTAGCATGTGCACCTTCCAAGTACCAATGGTGGGTGGTGTCACCTTTGTCTTTTTGATCTTTTTCTGTGATTTTTGACTGCTATAGTGGGATTTCTATCAGCCGTGGTATGCCGACCGGGGTTAAGGTGAATCAGACAATGTTTAGGGCACCTTTTCTAGCCCCGTCCTTGTGCTTCTGAGGTGAGCAGTGTGATCCTAAGTAGGGCTGCTCAGTCAACCGGGGGGCTGACGAATTCCACTGCTGCTTTAGTCAAGTGAAAAGCGACTCTGCCTTGAGCTGCCTGTGTGCAGGTCTGCTGCTACAGCTCCCAGTGTATCCACACCTGCTGCATTGCTGCTCACCCATCACTACAGGTCTTGAGTGTATCTATGGGAGAGATAGATGATGTCATCACTTATGCATGAGTTCGATTTAAGTGAGGAAAGGTTGTGGAGTCATCCTCACTTTGTCATCCAGCCCTGTCTGAATCCAGTAGCACAACAACGTTGAGACATCTGGATGTAGTGATTAGCCATCAGGTCCTACTGCACCCAAAGTAATGCCCTACATTGTCTACACAGCTCTTGCCATCTGCCTTCACAGCCAGGGAGATGAGCATATCTGCTCAGCCACCTGATCCACCAGAGAGGACTTTCCAGAGGGAGCCAGGTGTATCTGTCCACTCTAGTCAACAATCTGGCCCTATCCTTACTTTTATTTCATGGGCTGCTCCCCTAGTCTTTCCTGACCAAGGGAGAACCCATAAGGCAGTGGGGGCTGAGGTTTTAGAGTGCCCCAGTCTCACCCTTCCCTGGGGTTTGGCCCTGGTGGCACTTTCTAGGGGCTGCTCTGCCACAAGCAATCCCACCACAGTGACCCCAAACTCCAGTAGAGTGCAGTTTTTGGCTATACCCAGGACTATATTTGGAGGTGCTATATATAAAACACTACCTCTTTTCAAATGCAAAGTGGGCCCTGGCAGAAAATAATTAGTGTCCAACAGCTATGCTTGAGTTAAGCTAAAAAGTCTCAATAAAATGAGCTAAGGGCCTTGCATAATATTTTTAAGATTTACTTTTCCATTGAAATAGGTTCTATTTTCTAACACTCAAGAGGATTTAGTAGTTTTTGTTTTGCACCATTTCTCCTCAGGATGGAGCACAAAATGAATGCTGATGTGGTGTGCCATTCCATGAAGCTATGTAAACAGGATGTAGGTCAACCACTTTGTCATCTGTACCCTCCCCCTAAGGTGAGTTATTGGATTTTTGAAATTTCAGTGTTGTGAAGGGCAGCTAAACTTCAATTGTAAGGTATAAAGAGGCAGCTTGCAGTCTTCATGCTGTGAATTGCAAACAACAATATTTACAATGTTTGCTCTTTCAGAATCATTTCATTAGAATAAAAGGTGTATGACATATTTTAATTGTTTTTCTGAAGGTGTGTGATCCTGCTGTCTATAGTATCAAAGGCATGGATGTCAAACAAGCTGCATTTATGACAGTGGGAGCCATAGGGACAAATTTCCTTGTGGCAGTATGCATGAGAGGAGCTGGTTTAGAAAGAGTAAAGTTCTTGGATTTGGTGGCATTATATTATTAAACCCCCAGATATTAAAATAAAATGATTTAATAAATACCATCTCAAGGACAAATTTTCAGACTGAGAGGCACTTAACTTCCCTGTAAGGGAGGTACCTAAATAGAAATGGTTCTTTTTTATTTTTTCCTGAAGGGGCTAGGCATGCACAGTTTGCACTGACATCTGGGGGATATATTTGGTGCTCTGCATTTCTGAAAAGCTACTTATTTAGGAACTCATTTTTAAAATCTTATCCCTAGAACTGTGGACAGGCTCATTGTAAAAATCTAAATATATCCGGACAGTATTCTACCTGGGACCAGCTCCAATGCCTATTGTAGTTACTTGGAGCTTTTCCATTGGCTTCATGGGCTTTGGTTCACTTCCATATGGAGCAAACTGTTGAATGTGGAAAGCATTATCTTCTAGTCCAGTGGTTTTTGTCAGCCTGTTCTGCAGACTCCCAATGTTTGAGGGGTCTATGAAAGATGACTATGATGAAACAAAGGTATGTGACTACCCACACTTATAATTCACAGGGGCCCACACCTCCATTTGAAATTGTTTAGAGATCCACCAAAAAAAAAAAAATTGAAAACCACTGTTCTAGTCTAAGGGTGCTCAACCCCCAGTCTGCAGACCAGATCCAGCCCACACAGCCATGTCATCTGGCCCGCCAGGCTCCCCACAGGTCCAAATATTTGGCATCAGAGGAATGGTGGCAACATTAATTGCCACTCCCCTACTGTCAAATTTTCTGACCCCTGACAAGCCCAGTGGGCTGGATAGCACAGACCTGCAAAGCTACATCACGCATTCAGGGTTGGTGTGTCACAGAGTTTGTCTTGGGTTTCAGGACTGGGCTGAGGTGGTATGGGACCTGATCAAGGCACATGGGGCCCAGTCCCATGAACCAACCCCACAAGAGATCCAGCCCACAGATGAGTCCCAAGTAATTCATCTGAAAAGTTGAGTGCCACTACTCTAGTCTAGAACACAACAGTAAGTTTCCCTTTAGAGCATGTGTGTATTTCATGCAGTCACTGGTAGAGGTGCACCAATACATTGGTCCCATATCGGATTGGCACCGATATAAGGAAAATTGACCGTGTCAGCAATTGACTTTTCTTGGCTGATGTGGCTGATAATGTGGACAATAAATGCCAATGGAAGGGGCATGGTAGGGGCAGATTGAGGCCCCCACTGTGAGAGAGGGGCTGGGGCAGGGGCAGGCGCTGCCCATCATTGGTGGGGTGTGGGACGGAGCCACGAGCAGCTGGTCCGGAGGGTACAGAGTGGGGGAGGCTCCTGCCACTACATACACCCCAGGAGGCCATGGGGGGCATGTGCCCCCCAAAACTGCACGAGGCAGGGCAGGCTTCCACCGTGGGCTGGGGCCAGAGCTGTGCCAAGCTCTTCCTGGCAGTGGGGTTGGGCCGGGCTGCACTCAGGGTGGGTGGCAGTGATACTGGGAGAGCGGTCTGTGGGGGGCTATGGTGAATTTTAGGGTGGCTGCAGCCACCCCCCCATAGTCCCTCTCCCAGTATTGCCACTGCCACCCACCCCAAACGCAGCCCCAACCCAACCCCCATGCTGGGAAGAGCCAGGCGCAGCTGCAGCCGCAGTCCACCCTCACCCTGCATGCAGACCTGGGGCCACATGCTCTCCATGCCCTCCTGGGGTGTGCATAGCAATGAGAACTGACCCTCCCCTGCATCTCCTAGACAAACCACTTGCGGCTCCATCCTGTGCCCCACCCTGCCCTGGCTGTGCAGTGCCTGCCCCAGTCCCACTCCCTCCCTCACTGCAGAGCCCTCAATCTGCCCCCCCATGCCTCTTCCCTTCCCCCACAACAGACTTACCAGCCGGTCACTGCTCTCCATGCTATGGGGCTACATATTGATGATCGGATTGTAATAAGCTGATATGGCACATTAAAAATTGGCCGTCGGTACTGGCTCAAAAAAACTCTATCAGTGCACCCCTAGTTACTGGATCTTCCAGTGCACAATAGTTAGAGCAATGGGTGTGCTACCAGGGTGAGTGAAAAAAGAGGGCTGCTTAAACCGAGCAAGTTTAGACACTACCAGTCTGCTGCTAAAATGTTAACAAAGGACTATATCAAGAAAATCTGTCCATGCTAGTGGTTCTTCCTTTCGATAAAATGTTTCTTCCACCTTTATCCATGACACATCAATCTCATAGTCATGTCTCCACCCCCCACCCCAACCTCCCTTTGAAAATTCACTAGTTTCATACTCTTCCCAAATGCGTCCACCAATCCTTCCACCGTTCTATACCTTTGGAGGTATCATAACTACAGGAAAATCAGTAGAGCTGCAAGAGCTGCTTGATAGGGGTGTGTGAAGCAGGCCCTATTCGATTCAGATTTGGATTTGGCCCGAATCGAGGACAGTGATTTGATTTGTTGTCGGATCACTGTCCCTGATTCGATTTGGCCAAATCCAAATTTGAAGATTCAATGCTAATTGGGAGAATCAGCGATTTGGACATAGACACAGCTTTAAAAGTTTTTTCTACATACCTCAAGGTACCAGCATGGCTTGTGAATGCTGCAATGCTGGGGCGCATGGAATGTCCCACAGGAGTGCAGGGGAGCCCTCCACATGCTCAGTGGTGACCCTGGAAGTGGACCAAAAGTATTTCCTGTCTACTTCCAGGTTCACTGGGGAACGCCAGGTGCGCCGGCTCAGTGATTGGCCACAGGGGGACCCCACGTGCCCCACCCCAGACCCAGGAGGCATCAGTTGCCAAGCTGGGTGGGGGACAGGGCAGGCCCCCTGTGTGCTCCCCGGCAGACCCAGAAGTGGAGTGGAAGTGCTTCTGGTCCACTTCTGAGTCTACTGCCAAGCACACTGGGGAGCCCCCCACACTCCTGTGGGACACTCCATGTGACCCAGCATCGCAACATTCATGAGTCGCCTGGTACCTACAAATATGTAGAAAAAACATTTAAATCTGTGTCTATGTCCAAATTGCTGAATCTTTCCTAATCTCTCCGAATCGATTCAGAGGGTTCCGATTTGATTCGGAGAGATTAGTGGGTCCTCTGATTCGATTCAGATTCGGAGATTCAGCCACCAAATCAGGCTGAATCTCCGCCTAATTGAATCATGGACTGAAGCTTCACACAGGCCTACTGCTTGATCCTGCTGCTGCTTTGGGTGTTTTGGGAACGATAGGGCAGGCTTTGTTAAGGGCACTGTGTGCTCCTATCCACACTGGGAAAAACAAGGCGGGAGTCCCTCTGGCAGTTGGTGCAATGGCAACAGTAGTTGCAACTGCAATGCAACACCTATCTGAGGGCTAGATTTTGATTTGGACTATATGTCTGTGCAGGGGAGAGAGGAGGAGCAGAACTACCCCTGTACCCCAATCTCTGCATGTGTTAGGACTACCAGATAGGTGCCTACTGGAAAAAAAGGGAAAAGCAGTAAGTGAACTGTACAGTGTTTCTTGGACTAGTGCAGGCCTCAGCAGTGTTTGCTGGACTAGTGCACTGTGTGCCACTGATTGGTTCCTGGAGTCAGTACCGCTCTGAGACCAGACACTAGCTGGTTCAGTCCCAGCCTCAGAGAAGGCCGAATATTTAAAAAAGGAATGAAGGCAACAGTGTCTTTTGATAATCCCAGCAATATTTTTGCCATGTCCTTCATCTGAAACAATTACTGCTATCCACCATTAACATGCTGCCATGCTGAGATCCAGAATAAAAATTCTGAGAGTGGAGGGGATAGGGTTTAACAAATGATTTGGGGATAGGCCCGCTTTGTATAAACAGGTAGGTTGGGGAAAATCTTGGCACCACTGAATGCAAAGGTACAATTCCCAGTGACTTCAATGGATTTAACCCAGGACTTTACCTTGGGTGCTGGTGTGAGTTCTTTGGTTCACTCCTGCAATAGAAGTGGTACCCAACCACTTGCTCCTTTCAGCTGTAGAGGTATGTTTATATTGACTAAAATTTCCAGAATATATCTGCAAGGAAAAATGCTGAAGATATACTATTTTGCTTTTTTTTTAAAAGCTGAGATTCTTGTTTGTCTGGCCCAAAGATGCCTCTGGTAATAAGCCATCTCCAGCTGATCAGTATTTGCTTGTTCCCATTTCTGCAAAGCTTCATTTGTCTCTCATCAGGAGCCAAGCAGATCAATTAACAAAATAGGTTTTTCAACCTTATTCCTCAATCTTTAACCATTTGAGTGGCCCATGAGGCTGCTGAAGAGGGAAAAGAAAGGTGTTTCAGCAAGAATCCATACACGATAAATTGCACACAGTAACTCTGTGACAAGTCACACTGAGTAAAGATGAATTATAAGCAAAAAATGTAATATGCAGTCAGAGACACAGATGCATAAAACCCAGTTTACCTCACATTTGCTCCTTCGGTTTATAATTTGATTGATCATTTCAGTTACATGAGCCTGCAAATGTTGGCTAAGTCTCCTGCCAAGTGTTTGAACAAGACTTTAATACTAATGACTGTTTGGTTCAACTCTATTGATTTTCAGGTACATCATTTATTCATTTAAGGTTTTGGATGCACACTTTCCCAGAGTGAGTACAACATTTGTACTGGCAGAGTGAGTGCCATAAATAAGTAGGTTCTTTTCTTTATAGAACAGCATAAATATCTGTTTTTAATTGTCT